TTTTTAAAAAACTCTTTGCAGGAAGGTGTCCCTGCAGGAGTGGTAGGAAGATGGAACACAGTAACATTAGGGCTGACAGAGAGTACACTGCTTCCTGTTGTGCCCCTTGCCAGGAGTGCAGGCCCAGGTGAAATCCCTCACTGTCTCTCTTTTCTTTCTCAGTACGTGTTTGACTACAAGGACAGGGACATCTTTGGCTGCGTGGCAGACATCGGCTGGATCACAGGACACACATATGTGGTCTACGGCCCCCTCTGCAATGGTGGTACCACTGTCCTTTTTGAGAGCACTCCTGTCTATCCTAACCCAGGTGACTGAGGTGACTCATGGGAGCTGGGACATTCCACAGCACCCTGAGGTCCACAGCAGGCAGGGAGCTAGTAGCCTGATGCCAGGACATGAGCAGCAAAGGCTCTGTTGCCTCAGCAGTAGTTCATGGGCTGTGCCCAGTAGAGAGCTCCAAGGGGAAGAGTATTTTCCTCTGCCTAGGAAGCCACTGCTGCTTCTCCAGGGGTGGAGCTGTTAATCCCTCTCCCTCACTGCAGAAGGAACAGTAGCAGAACTGTGAAGAAAAAGGGACTGCTGCTCTGAACTGCTTTCATCCTTCCCACCACACAATTAACTTGGCTGAGGGTCCTGACTGGAGAGCTGGAGAGCCTTTGCTCTCACCTCTTCTTTCTCTGCCATGGCATTGGGCTGGGAGGACCTGTATGGATGTTTACTGGCCCTGTTTCCACTCCAGGCCGCTACTGGGAAACAGTAGAGAGGTTAAGAATTAACCAGTTCTATGGGGCGCCCACCGCCATCCGCCTGCTCCTGAGATACGGCGATGAATGGGTGAAGAAGTATGATCGCTCTTCTCTTAAACTGCTTGGCTCAGGCAAGTGCAGCAACATGGGCTGGGGCAGCAAATCTTTGGACATCATGTTGTGCCTCTTCCCACAAAGGCCAAGAGTAGCAGCACATGAGAATCTCAGACTGCATTATTTCAGCTCTGCTCTCGTCTTTCCCCTTGCAGTGGGGGAACCCATTAACAAGGAGGCGTGGGAATGGTACTTCCGTGTGGTCGGTGAGACACGATGCCCAGTAGTGGACACTTGGTGGCAAACTGGTGAGATACATATGATTCCTTGTTCCAGCTTCTGCTCTCCCAGGCTTTAGGAGTGACCTGCTGCTTTGCTGGCCAAGTGATAGCAGTTGTTACTGACAGTCTTGAATGAGTAAGGCTGTAAGGGCCCATGAGCACCCAAACATAAAAGAGAAAAATGGCCTTTAAAGCTAACCCAGATAAACATAGGGATTTAAGGGTACATCTCAACAGATCCCTGCTGAACTAAATGAGCACAACCATCCTTCTGTAAAGTTCCTTCCCCAGCTCTCCGGCAAAGCCAGCCCCTGCCTGTGCAGTGTGTAGTAAGGGACAGGGCAAAGACTCTTGGCCAAGCAGTGCTACTTGGCATTTGTCTTGCTCCTGACTTTGATGAGCATTAGTTTTTCTTCAGAAACAGGAGGCATCTGTATCTCACCCCGTCCTTCTAATCCTGGAGCTGAAATCCTTCCAGGCATGGCTATGAGACCCTTTTTTGGGATCAGCCCCTCCCTCTTGGATGACAAGGTACGTTTATAACCTGCAGTCCAGATGCTGTCTCAGTCCCCTTTCTCCCAGGTGTTTGCAGTGTGTACTTGCCAATGGGAGTGGAAGTCTGTAAGCATGTCTTTCCTGCTCATCTCTGCTGGACAGCAACCTCCTTACTGGAAAGGGACAAACAGGGAAGTTGTTCTTCCAGCTAGTGCAGAAGTTGAGTAGTTGTCTAGCTTGCACTGTCCTGACAAGAGAGGCTGTGTTTGCGCTCCCTGGCACATCTTTCCAGGAAGGACAGGGCTGGGCAGGGACAGCCAGTCTTCCTGGAGAGGCCTTTGCATCCCACTATGGGAGGCAGTTTGTTGCAGACGTATGCTGGGAGAGACTAAGCCTGTCCTGTCAGAGATGGTTACTAAAATGTAACTGTCTTACAGGGAAATGTTCTTCTGGAAAATGACGTTTCTGGAGCTCTTTGCATCTCACAAGCCTGGCCCGGTATGGCACGAACCATTTACAATGACCACAAGAGATTTCTGGAAACCTACCTGACTCCTTATCCAGGTAAGGAAAACATGTGGCAGGACACTTGCACACATTTGGTTGGGTATAGTTGGGTCTGTTTGCTGGCTTCCTGTATGGAGGCAGGATTCAGTAGAGCTGGTATTGCTCCTTTGTTCTTCCAGAGACCCTCCACAGTCCTGAGGCCCTTCATCTCCCCATGTCTGATGTCACAGGACTGCCCCTCACCAACCTTCCCAACTGAATCACACATTGTTTTAAGGCAGTGGATTTGTCCTTCTGCCCTCAGTCCCCTTGAGCACAGACCTCTTGCTGCATCTCTTGTAAACCCTGTCAGCCCCTGTAACTCATCCAGAGGCACTAAGCAAGCCCAAGAGTGTGTGTGTCTTGATGTAATGCGAAGAGGAGAAGCAGCAAGACCACAGGCACCTGCAGTGGAACAAAGTGCTCACAGCACATAGTGATGAGACAGGCACAGCATTAAGCAGTACACTGCAGAATGAGGGCAGGAGCCTGATGTTAGAACAGGTACCAGCAGAGGCTGAAGACTAAGAAGGAAGGGCAGGCACATTTACCCTGAGCAGCTGAGGAAGAAGCAGAGTACATGGGCCCTGAAGCCAACAGAGAGGAGGAGGGGAAATGTGAGAGTGTGTCCACTGAACAGCTCACATGCTCCCTTCAACAAGTGACTATGGCATGGTTCTGGCTACTGCAGGATTTTACTTCACTGGGGATGGTGCATATCGTACCAGTGAGGGCTACTACCAGCTAACAGGACGGCTGGACGACGTCATTAACATCAGTGGACACCGCCTGGGCACTGCCGAGGTGGAGGATGTTGTGGTAAGAGATGTGTGTGGGAGGTAAAACTAAACTGAATCCAAACTAAAGCAGTCAGGGGCAAGAGGAAAAGACCAGTGCTTGCAGACCTACTGAGGCAGGAAGGAAAACAGGCAGAGGCCATGTGAGGCCTTTCCTTATCTCCCTGCATTATTGTGGGCTGCAGCAGCCAAGTCAGGTCAGGGCAGCTCCAGGTGGCAGCCAGCCTGCCAAAAGCACAAAGTCAAACCCCTGCCCTGTTCTCTTCCAGAATCATCATGTGGCAGTGGCAGAGTCTGCTGTCATTGGCTACCCACATGAGATCAAGGGAGAAGGTAAGATGCTTTTTTTCCTGCCCCAAAACATCTCTTGGGGCTATGGCAGTGCAGTGGGAAGTAGCACTGGTAGCAGTGCTGTGCCCACAGCATACAGCATGTTAGTGGGGATTTCAGTTCAGCCATTACATGCATCACAGACCAGCTAGGCTTTGCATAAGGTGGCAGCAGCAGAGCTTCTGTGTAGCCAAAAGCATGCACAGTTTTGGCTACAGAGCATCCCCTGAAGCTACCAGCAGAGAGGGGCTCTCCTGGCACTAGGTCGGCAGGGTCTCAGGGTCTGCACCATGCTCAGTAGCCTGGTGGTCCTTCTGCCAGGAGTCTACGTGTTTGTTGTGCTGAAGAAGGACAGTGGCTACACACAGGAGACTCTTGCTGCTGAGCTCCAGGAGCTCATCTCAAAGAAGATTGCGAAGTATGCAGCTCCAGATTATGTTCAGGTAACACAAGCAAACTGGTGCAACACCCAGACTGGCAGATTGGCAGATCCCTTTCCCTCAGCCTTGACTCTGCTCCTCCCCATCACAGGTCACACACCGGCTGCCCAAGACACGCTCGGGTAAGATTATGCGTCGGGTGCTACGGAAAATTGTGGAGGACAAGGACAGCGAGCTTGGGGACCTAACCACCCTGGATGACCATGAGGCTGTGCAGCAGATCATAGAGGGACACAAGCACCTTGTGAGGCAGCAGAAGGGCCACTAATTTGGCTCTGCCACCAGCTACCTCATCCTCCTCCTTCACTGCAAAACCAGGGAAATATCCAGAAAAGCCATTAAGCAAGTGGTGGCCAGTAAGTTTTCAGATCACACTGCTGCTGCAGTCTTCAAGTGGCTTCTCCACAACACAAAAGACCCTCAAAACATGTCTCCATACCCGTGTAGACAGAAGAGGGAACATGACTCATCATAGGCAGAAAAGTAAGGGGAGACAAGCTATTTCATTCTATGAAAGCAGGGGGCAGAAAGCCCTCCTTGAGGTTCCTTGTGCCTTGCAGTAGCTGCAGAGGTAGCAGCAGGCAGGATCTACAGCTCTGAATAGGGATACTACTCCTACCTCTGCTCTGCTCTTTAGCAATAGTCTTGTCCAGGACCGCTGCCAATATACAAGCACCTCCTCCAAAGCAAACCCCAGAAAGAAAACACGCAACAGTCTGGTTAACAAATATTGACTCTTCCATAAAAACAATTTGAAAGCAGGCCCCAGATTTTAATACAAAAATGTTCTTTTCACCTGTAGCCGTGTGTTATAAGGAGAGCAGAGACATGCCCCTTCCCTGTGCTAGCATCTCCTTCCCTTGTCTCCTGCTGGAAAATACAATTCTTGACAGAGCCACAAGGTACATAAATCTGTTCTGCAGAACTGTGTATCAAAGACAGAGCTCCCAGCAAGGCACAGAGGGCAGAAAAGGAGGCTGCATTCTAGTCTCATGCCATTGTATCCCAGACAACATGGAAGTTTCTCTGGGTATTGTTTCTACAAGACCCATGAGGCAGCATCTTTTCTCTGGGGGCCTAGCAGCTCAGCTCCTTTCTTCTGTGAGAGCCAGGGAGGCTGGGAAAAGGATGGCAGAGTTGTGTCTACTCTTGGCAGAACTCCACACCATGAGTTCAGACATACTCTGTGTCCATCAGCAAAATCCAGAACTGGTCTTGCACTGTTTGACATGGCTGCTGGCTTGGCAGCTCCACGTCTGCTACTTGAGAGCTCCTCCACATCTGTGCAGGTTGTGTGGCTGGCCAGACAAGGGCATGTTTTTCAGTGTCCTTCCCCAGAGGGGAGCCGCTTCATCTTCTCACATCGAGTGAGCTCCCATCTTCCCTCCCCATGAAGTTTCAAAATCCAGTTGTGGAACTGCAATTCAATAGCACAACATTGAGGGATATCTCTACAAGGGCATGATCCATGCACAGTGAGGTCCTCCAGCCTTAGTCACTCTCTGCTCGTCAGAGACCCCCTTTACCTCCGTCAGAGACCCCCTTTACCTCACCACCCTGAGGGAGACATGGAGCGCTGCCTCTGTGTCTCACCTTTTCCAGGCTGGGTCTGTGTCCCACGCTGATCAGTGTCATGCCCAGCTGAAGGCACATACGGTACAGTTCATGTTCCACATCTTCTGTCAAGGCACTGGTGGCTTCATCTAACACTGAAAGAAAAGTTGTAAGTCCCGCAAATCCTATTCCAACCAGACATCTCCTTTAGGCAAGAGCAGCAACTCCCAAGAATGTTTCATGTATTAACTGAAGCTCTAACTCTAGCTCACCAAGAATATCTGCAGAAGGCAAGTGAGGAGAAACCTAAGGACTCTGGTATTCCTAAGCACAGCTGGTGTCAGGCAACTAGGAAAGCTGTCCTTCCCCTCAAGTACTTGAATCCATGCAGACTACACCATTCACCTCATTCCTCTCCCTCAACAGCTGCCAGTCACTGCCTCATCCCCATCAGGGAAAAGGCCAAGGCATGGCCTTCTCCAGCAGACCATATGCCAGAGAGCCAGGCTGAACAGCAGCCAGTGTACTACTCTTCCAGCACAGATCCTACATGGAGCATGTAGGATGGCCTGTGGCACCTTCCTGACTATTAAGGGTAAATGCTACAGATGTGAAGCAAATAAATTCAAATCATCTCTACAGCTTTTAGTTTGCAATCCACAGGTTCTTTCTGCCCAGACATCACTGAGCTGTGTGACAGGCTTCAGGGGAAAGAGAGGTACTTACATGTAGCTACCTGCTACTGAAACTGGCTCTGTTCACCCACATCCAACCTGGCCCTCATGGCAAGTCCTCCAACAGCTCAAGCCCCCAGCAGAGCCCAAGGAATTTGCCCCATTAGCTAATCACAGATGCTTCTGTGGTCTCTCGGGACTGTTTCTCCCACTGCTCCTTGTCTTCTTTTGCCACATCAGGGCTAAACCTTCCGTATTGCCCCACAACCATACAGATGTTCGTGAGCTTCAGATATGACAGCTGTTGCCACACTCCCCAGCACATGCACTTCTTTACATAGCAACTGATGAGAAGGCTGACAAAGTTCTTCTGGTGCCATTGGACACAGACCATGAACATTCATCACTAGTACCCTAAGAAGAAAATGTCTTGTATACAGCCCCCTGACTTACCACCCTCCACACAAATAATGAAATATTTTCACATTTCACAAATGAATCCTCTGTGTGCTATGCTGCTAAAATAATGGCCAAGACAAAGCATGTTCCTAGCACAAAAGGGATTTTACGAGCTGTCTCTGCAGCAGCTTCTCTATACACCAAAGGCCTTGTCTTTTTTTCTCCCTTCTTTTGTAGCCAGTCACTCACCTGCGTATTTTGGCTGGAGGTAGAAGAGCCGTGCAAATGAGAGCCTCTGCATCTCCCCTGGGGATAGGATGTCATACCTGCAGCAGGGTTGAGATTCAACACCTTCCTCAAGAAAGAGAGCTCATTTGCTGAAAATCTAATGGCTTCTGATATTGGAGACCAGCAAACAACTGTCCCTGTGTGTCCCTTGTGCCCCCTCCATGCTGGGACTGGCTCTGCACCCCTGTACACAGTCAGCTGCCTGCAGAACACCACAGCTGGTGATTGTTGGCATAGATGCTTGGGGCATGAAGGCTTTGCTCCTGTATAGTGTCCACATCTCACAGAACGCAGATGGACACAGATAGCAATGTGCATCTGCTTAGGAGTGTTCCCCACTCAGAAATCACCCAAATACACACAGACAGTGAGTTCCCTTACCAGTTCCAGTCCACCTGTTCATCCAGTCCTCCAGCCCTTGCCAGCAAATCAGTCTAGAGAGAACACAGCAGACCTATGAACACAGTCCCCAACCCTGTCAGCCTGAGCATAACCACCCACTTCTTGCCAGTCTCCCTTTCCCCACTTGAGCTGAAGTTGTACCATATCTCTCCTCCTCTTTTCAGTCCCACAGACAGTTGTGTCCCAGGTACAGATAATGTCCCCACATAATGTGTCCCCACACAATCATGCTGTGCTGCCACAAAAAATCATCCCTTCTTCCCTCACTGGTGGCACCAGGAAAGAAGGCAGCAGTGCTACCAGTGACTCACCAGCCCAGCCAGCTCCAGGAATCGCATAATCCTCTCATCATCTGCAGACCCTAGCAAGAAAGCCATACAGCATAAGGAGAGGCAGTGTGTACTGAAGCAACTGCTGAATGAAGGAGTTGGTGGGGCAGGAGGGAAGAACTGGAGTATCTCCTGAGGCTCAGTGTAGTTGACCTGACCACTTAGTTATAACAGATCCTGAGCTTTAGCAGAGATAGCCCCAAAGACTGACCTTCCTTAAAAAAGTTAACTATGCCTGCAAGCAGCATATCGAGAGAGCTGGACTCCACAGATACACCTGAGATTTCCCTCAGTTCATGGCCACAGCCAGAACACAGGGATCCAGGCTTCAACTGCCACGGCCCTACCCAACAGGCACTCTCTTAGAGCTGAGACTGCACACTACAAGTGGTAGAGTCATGGAAACAGGGTTCAGGTAAGAGCCAGGTCCTTTTGGACCCTATGTAGGAAGAGAAATACCTCAGGGTGAGTCAGCTGTGGAGCAGAACATACCCATACAGCTCAAGCTGGTACAGTCAGCATCTAGTGAAGTTGAGTAGAAGGGCTGTGAATCTGCCATGGACTTCTCTGAAGCTGGTGGAGAGCCACAACAATAGCTGATGGCTGTAGTTACTTTACTCTCAGCAAGATTGTGACTCCCAAGTATTTGAAAGCAGCAGATAACACAGCTGGACATCTCCAAGCTACAGCACACCACATGTGGTCAGGCTTCAAAAGAGGGCAGGGGAGAGCAAGGTTTGCCATATATCCCATATATTCTGACCACAACAGTGTGCAAAGCCCTGGGGCATCATTTTGAAAAAGTGGAACAGTTAAAAGATGAAAGTAGATGGAAAATAAGATGAAGTAAACATGGCTTGATGAAAGTCAGGCTGTACCAAACAAATCAGATGTATCCCAACAGCAACATGTATCATGTCTAGCACAGCAGGAAGAGCACAGCCAGCTTGTCCTCATTATCCTAAGAGAGCAAGTTCTTATCAAGTGAGGATGCTCCATCACAAAAGGAGGGGGACACAGAACTGATCTTAACACACACTAATCTTCTAGGGAACACCAGAGCAACAAAAGCAAAGTGTATGAGTGTTACTGATAGGTTTCAGCAGGGGAGAAGCTGCACTGGGTACAGGACAGTGAGGCAATACCACAGCATTGGTTAATTGCTCTAATGGATTTCCACAAACCTGAAGGTGGATAGATTTCCTTCAAGGGATAGATCACCTGTTTAACAGAGCAAAAGAAACCATGTTAGAGGGACTGGACACTGTCCATCAGAGATACAATAGCATGACCTCAGTTAAAAGGGAAGGAGCAGCCACAGGCATCCTCCCTCTTGCAGGCTTGTCTGCACCCCACAGGCTTGCAGGACATGATCATAGCAGGGAGCAGAGCTGAGGCCAGAGCAAAGACAGACCCTGGGCTCACCTGCTCACGCAGGCTTCCATCAGTGAAGAAGGGCCGCTGTGGTAGGAACACCACTCCTCGGGGGCCAAAGCAGGTCAGCATCCTGATGCTCCCTGCACAGAGACACTCATCACATCTGCAGTACCAGGCAGCAACTCCCCACTGCCCCATGTAGTCCCATGAAGTAGCCAACAAGTCCCCACAGAAGTGTGTTTGCAACACCGAGTAAAGCAATGAGAGCCAAAGGCTGTGACAGAGATGGGTGGCTGAAATCAGTGTATCAGTGACACATTCACCATCACATAGTGGCACTGGCCTCACAAATTGCCACCTTGCAAACTCAGGGTAGCCTTGGTTGAGAAAGGAAGAGAAGGCTGAGGCAAGTAGCAGTCCTTACCCCGTGTGCTCTCCCAGAGTCCTCCAAGGACCCTCAGGAGAGAGGTCTTCCCTGTACCAGTATTTCCCACAATCATCACACTGTTTCCTTGTGAGATCCTGAGGCTCAAGTCCTTGATAAGCAGCTTGCCAGAGGATGGTACTGAGAGTGTCACTCGCTCCAGAAGGAAAGCTGTGTCCCTTGGCACTGGGTCCTCCCCAGAATGGCTGCTGGGCCACCACCAAGACAAAGAACGAGAGATCCGTGGGTAAGTGACCATGCTGAGACTGGCAAAGATCAGGCACCTTAAACCTCCTGTTCCTCTTTGACAGTTGCCCTGTCCCACACACCCTGGGAATGACAACTGACAGTGAGCACTGCCTGCTCCAACCAAGTGCATGCAACAGACTGTGACACCAAGAGCCACCTCCATTCCATGGCAACCCCACACTCTGGGATGTAAGCTGCAAGTCAGCCAGTTACTGAGAGGTGACTCACCCATCCAAATCCCAGCGGGTTTTGGCTTCTGAGTAGTTACCATTTTTTTTTCTGCCAAGGCTCAGCAAGGTCTCCTGCAGTTCACCAATCCTAGACACACAAGAGGTTGCATGAAAGCCAGGGACAATTCCAGCAGCCTCCTCACAATATCCAAACTTGCCCATGCTTGCACACGAGCATAAATTTCATATTTTTGTTGTTGTTGTTGTTGTTGTTTTTGTTTCTGTTTTTAGCACAGAGCTGGGTAGAGTCTTGTCCTGGACTGCCCTTTCCTCCAGAGATGTGCCCACAGATAAGCTCACCTGTGTGTGTAGCCAGCTACATCAGTCACAGTGCTGGAGAGATCTATGAGCTGGCTGAAGCAGCCAATGAGGTAGATGGAAACAAAGGCATTCTGGGGAGAAATCACATGCCAGAGTAAGGGTCAGTGCTGCTGAGCTGGGGCCCTGACCCTTATTCCATGACTACAAGGAGGCAGCCAAGAAGGAGTCCACACATTTGGCCACATCAGCTGTCTCAGCAAGATGAATGAGGGGTGGTGAAGTCACCACATTCACACCAGAGGGGAGTGAAGATGACCACATTTGAAAGAAGCAGGGCTTCCCTGCTCAGTACAGCAGTTTTTGCCAGGTAGACACATGTCCCATCACCCAGGGATGGTGTTTGCAGAGTGCCTGCTGGCCTGCCTAGGGCCCAGCATGCTTGCCCAAGTCACACAGCTCCATGCCACCAACCCTGCCTCAGCACCGTATATGGCTCAGAGCAGGCACCAGCCTGCAGTGCCCACTTAGCTATTTTTAGCTCTGAACTCTATCACAAGCCAATTTTGAATATCTGGTAACAAGTCAGGTCAGGAAGATGAATGCAAGCCAGCTCAGCCTCACTGGTGGCCAGGCTCACCACAGGCAGTAGTCCAGGGCATAACCCAAACCCACAACACTGCAACAGATCCCATTCCCACCTGCACTGCTGAAAACCAGAGACTTTTTGACCTCCTGGTTTTTTTTAAACATAGAAGTCTGAGTTAGGAAACACGTAAATGTGTCCTTGACAGTTCTCACTCCCAAGTTAATCACATACCAGCTGGCTACAAGCTCCCATTTCCATGACACCATGACTTGGGACAGTCTAACCTGAAGATCAGATGCTGTAGGTTATCTAGCCCCAGGACCACCAGCCCACATGAAACCTCCATCCTCAATGCCTGCTCACCCTTCGCAGTGGGGTCACAGAGATAACCCTTAGCTCACCTTGCTGACAAGGGCACTGAGCTCTGTTGGACTCAGGTCACCGTAGACCCCAGAAAAGATGGGAATGGCAATGACCACGTAGCTGAGGATGCTGCCCAGATAATCAAAGGTGTTGATCCCAACTGGGCATAAGCACATTGAAAGAACAGTGAGTTAAAATAGAAACTTCTGTTCCAGACAGGCCCAAGTACTAACCCTAAGCCCAGTCAGAGGAAGAGCCATGTTCTTGCCTTGGCCCTTAATGATGAACCAGAGCAGAAAAACTCATTTTTCAAGATAACGCAAGCAGCAGGGTGAAAATCCATTTACCAAGCAAAGGGCACTTTGGGGCAGGCCCCTGAGCAGAGAATCATCATCTAGACGTACAGCTCAGGGACTACTATAGGCCGAAAGGCACTTTGCCTGCTTGTAGCTATGCTTCAGGGACCTGACAGATTCACAATAAACAGGAGTGGAGGGCAAAAGGAAGCTCTGGGGTGAGATGGTTTGCCATGAAGTGTGTCTTGGGAGCACAAAACAGGCAGAAAAGACTTAAGATCCCAAATTCCCACAGACACTTCTGTTCAGGGTTCTCCCTCCATTACACTGTTCAGAAGCTCACTGTGCTGCTGAGATCAGAAAGAGCTGCCTTTATAGGGGTCATTTAAAGAAAAAACCTGGACTCAGTGAAAAAGGGAAAAGGAATATTTTTAGGGGACAACTATGCTTAAGGGACAGGCTCTATTGGAAAGAAGTTTCCACAGCTCCCAACCACATGCACAGTCCCCAAAGCTCAAGCCCCTCCCTCTTTTCTTGGCATGTGAACACCTGCCCCACAAAAAGCCAGATTCTGGGTCCTCCACAACTTTGCCTCTTTATGAGGCTTTTATACAACAGGATTCCCATGAAGCACTGCAGGAGGTACGCTCTGTTCACCCTCAGGGCTTTTGCAGACCAGCAAGAGGCAGAAGAAAATAGCACCCACCCAACTGCTCTACCAGTAGAGTTTCTCAGCGTGTGGACCACCACAATGGAATTACCACACATCCCACTTCACCCCGCAGTCTGTCCACTCACTGTATAGCCACAGCTCCTTGCCTATCAGCTCCCTCTGGGTCTTCAGCAGGCTCTGCAGCCTCTGGTCTGTGCGCATGTGCTCCACTCGCCCAGCCCTATAAAAATAAGATTGCAACATGCCACAGACATCCTAGGACCACGGGCTTTAAAACTGAAGCTTTGAACAGGCCTGTCACCTTTACCTCCAACTAAAAACTCTTTATTGATCAGGAACTGAACAGTCAGGACTACTTTCCTGAAGGGTATCATCAAAGAACTCCATCTAAAGCAAGCAGTCCTACAAATCTCTCCCAGAGCCCATGGCTGCTGCTGGAGGAGGTAAAGCCAGGCCAGACACTGTCAGCGAGGCTCTAGCCTGAAGCAATGTACACCCAAGGTCAAACACAATTCCCAAATACAGCCTGGTTGGAAAAGAGGGATGGCACTGTTACACAGCTGAACCCAGAAAGGAGAGGGCAGAGGAGAGTCCGGGGGCGATAATCAGCCCACATGGCCTGCATGGTCAGCAGCCTCAGCCCACCTCTTCCCATTTACCCACTCCAGAGGAATGGGACAGCCAAGTCCTGAGCAGTGCAAGCCCCGGTACAGGTACTCCAGCTCCAGAACTCCACCCTTCCCAGGGCTATCTCCATCAGGTCACATACCACACAAGTTAGTGGTGATGCTCCAGTGGCCAGGCTGAGCCTGGAGCAAGGAGACATCTCCTAAACCACAACCTTCAAGCAAGCGTGACAGCTCCTTCTGCTGCTTTGCAAGGCCTGGGCTGCCCTCAGGTGGCAAAATGCAGAGAGAGCTCCACATCTCACTTCAGACTCCCACCTGCCACGGCACGTATTGCCCCTGACATCCAACAGAGGCTTCTGCCCACTACACAAACCATGCTTCCACCATGGTCTATGCACAGGGGAGTCACTAGGGCCCAAGAAAATAAGGCCAGAAGCAGCACAAAAACATCCAAAATAAGATTTTTGAGTTCTCATCTCTAAAGATTCCCAGTTCATAGAAAAATATACTTTCTTTCTCAAAAATGCACGTGGTTAGAATTCAAACCTGCCTTATCTCAGGTAATTACTGAGCTGCAATCTTTGCTTTCCATGTATTAGGAAAGGAGAAAGGCTTGGACACAAGGAGCTAAAGCTGAGAAAGGAATCGGGGACTTTTGTTCTAGAGCTATTATTCTGTTGCAGATGAGTAGAGATTGCTGTATTGGTTTCCTCTTTTCCTCCCATTCACTTCACTTTTAAAGCAAGTTTACCAAAGGCTTAGTAACAAAAGAAGTAAAAAGGTGGCAGTGCTCTGCTTCTGTTTCTTCCTTTACTGAAACAATGTCTAGGCAGTCTCAAGAGGGCAAGATCACAAACTAAAGAAGTTGAACAATCAAAACCAGCCACTCACCACATGCTCCTCCTCTTGCAGAATTCTAGAAATGCAACCTTTTAAAAAACTCTTTTGTTTTCAATTATAATGCATACCATTAAAATACCTGGTTGTGTGCAACTCAGCTAAGTTCTAGTTTCACACAAAATGAAGCTTTTCTACTAGAACACTGTACTTAACCAAGACATTCTGTTTACTGGTATAATAATTAACTTCCCATTTTCTACTTAGTAATAGAATAAAATTCAAAATTATGAATTTTGAGGGAAAGTACTGCATCTTAAATAAGGGCATGCAATTACAGTATCTTTTCCATTACAAAAAAATTATCATCAACCAGTAAGAATCACGGTACAAAGAAATAACTCAGACTTGCCAGTGCAAACCAAGATTGATCTTGACGACTTAAATCAGTTTTATGCCCGTCAATATAAGTTGTTATGAAATCAGTGATTTTGAATCAAACCACTGTGGGGACAGCACCACAACAATCAAAATGCCCACTCAATACAGCATGAAGGAGCCAAATACAGATCACAGGCAGAGATGACCAGAGAGAAAGACACATGCTACAATTCCTGGAAGTGGAATTTTGCAACATAGAGGGCAAAGGCAGACTTGTGACATGAGAGAAACAACAGCCTCCTGCCACCCCAACACAAGCTACACCAAATTCATGCCTCTTTTCCTGGTGAACCAAGCAGCAGCTCAACAGGCTTCAGGGCATCACTAAATGGTAGAGCTGCTGCTGCGCTCCTGATTGTGTGTGCTCAGCTCTGGGGTGAATGGCACTGAGCAAATTCAGAGCACCAGTACAGCATACGGAGGGCAAGGCACAGACTGACCAAGAGGAGCAAAGCAGGGGTAAGGTGGCCAGGTAGCATCTAGCACACCCACAGAAGACATACTGGCAAGCAGCAGCAGGATGGGGCCAGAAGCAACATGCAACAAGTCCTCAGCGGAAACAGATGCAATGAGACTTTGAGCAATCTTCCAGGTAAGAACCTGGCAAAACATCAGCAATGGTCTCTAAGCCAGCACCAAATTTGTATCTGCCTCTGAGGATGTTAGAAGGGAGGTAAAGGAAATATAGTTGTCTCCAATTAGTGTGGATTATTTCTGCAGATGATGCACAGAATGCAAAGAACAGAGTGTGTTGGGGGTGACAGAGTGTCAGGGCTGTATGGTGCTGCAGTAGAAGGGATAGAAAGCTGCAGCAACAGAACTTGGACTCCTTTGGGATATGTGAACACAACACGGATGCTCTGAACTGGGACAATCCTTTTGAGGATACAAAGAAATTAACACTACTAACCTGTAGAAAGCAGCTGGTTCTGCATTGACACGAATCTGCATGTGCTTGAACCTGTACAACCAAAAAACATTGTAATTGTGCATAAATGCACAGTGAATTACGTAGCCAAAGCCATTCCTAGAGAAAACTTATCTTGCATGTTAGAGAAGTGATCTGAGGCATCTCTTGACAGAAATACTCAACAGGCTCAGCAAGGCTCCATAGACCAAGGCTTAGCACGAGGTGCCATCATTCAGGGCCAGCTCAGTGGTGCATTTGTTTGATATCCTGCTCTCTGTGCACATCTTAGCTATTGGGCTTACTGTTTGCTGCTAGCGCAGCATCTCCACCATACAGAATCACTGCAGGCAACTGCCCTGGGCTGGGCTCCCTGTGCCACAACAGCTTATGCTGCTGTCCCTGGATGCCTTGAGCCCCAGGGAAAGCTACAAAGCCCCTACTATACACACAGCCAACCCTGCAAGCAAAGGGGAGGAGGTGAGTTACAGAGCATATGGAAAGACTGGGATGGTTTAGGAACCCAGTGAAGGCAGTGGTGAAGCAGAAACCTGATTTCAGTTAGTAGATGCAGTTCACTGAATATTCGTCTGCACCCAAGGAAGCTCCATGTGCAGTTTTCTTCAACACATCCCTAGCAGAAGCACCAGCAATGAGCAAGCAAACAGCTTGAAGACTGAGCTGTGAGACTGAGCCAAGGGCATTGCCTGTCATGACACAAGGATGTGAATGGTTGGCAGGGGCTCAGTACACTGACTTTGAGGCACCATTGCACAGGTAACTTTCTCTGAGTATGGGGAAAGTCACAGACAAAAGAAGTAGGTACATACACAGCACTGAATGGGGACAAAAAAGCTTTCACAGGAGCTGCCAAGGAGCAGTGAAAACACAGCTCTGCTGGGACTCACCTGAAATCTCCCTCCAGTTTTTCCTGCTGCACAAGTTTAGACACAATTGGGCTCATCAGCACCTTGTTAATCATTGTCCCAATGATGAAATACCCAAAGATGCTCACCGGGCCTAGCCAGCCTGTGCTACATAGGAGAAAGAGAAGTCAGCTAATAGTCCAAGCAAAAGAACACTCCTGCACCATTAGGCTCAAGCAATCAGAGCCCTCAACTGTCACCTCTCTGCTTTCACAGAAGTTTGGGGACCAACATTGCACATCCCAGCATCTCCAAGGCAGAGTTCTCTTTGGAGTGTAGAGACCACTCACCCATGTGTACAAATATCCATCTGGGGAGTTGTAACATGGGTGGCAGGCTCCAAAAAAAGAACACAGAAAAGAGGTATGCAAGCAGGTCCAGGATACATCCTTACCTGTGAAAGCACTGGTATGTGTAGTAGGCCAGTGTGAAGGGTGAGATGACGAGCTTGCTGGCCATGGAGCTGAGCTGCCTGCAGAACCTCTCCACATCCTGGCTGATGCGCTGGTCCCTGCTCAACACAAAGCCCAAAAGCAAGAGCCAGTAGCAAATCCCTAACAGGGCACAAACCAGGCTGTTTCATTGCATGAACACAGGACAGGCTGCAGGAGAACAACCTTGCCCGGGAAGGACCTGCAGCTCCCTCACAGGAGACCATTTTCATGGCCCAGCAGGATCCACCCAAGAGCCTTCATGGCACCCAGGAAGAACAACTCTTGCCATTGCTTTCATGCTGTTAATTTTATTTATCCCTTGTTCCACTTTCAACAACATAGTTCAACACTTGTACTAAATGTCTCTGCATCATTGTCCCTTACTCCTCTCCTGGAACAACCCCCATACAATAAAAAACCACTGACACTCCCCCTAACCTTCAGTACTGGGCTGAGATGCCATCAGAACCACCAGGGCACAGGCCAGTCCTTCACCAGCTGTTGGATATTTGCAAACACTTCCATCAAAGCTTCCCTTCCACAAGAGCCAATCCCTTGGCTCTGCATGGAGTACCTCTGGTTCCTTTGCTGCAAAAAAGGAAGTGCTTCCATCCACCCCAGCCCCCAAGAGCAGGAAGCAGCACACCAAGCCTTCTCATCTCACTAGCAGCAGGCACTTGGGTAACAGACCCTCAAGTGCCATCTATTCCACTGCTGAGCAGGAGTTGCACTTGGGGTAACTAGGAAAGATTTCAGTATATTTAGTCCTCAGCACCTCATCTGTCCAGAGCATGTGGATGAGGGCTTCAGCCTGCTGAACTAAGCTCCAGTGGAAAGGCCATAACTTACTGCTGGAGTTCAGAATGAAGAGCAAGGATGGATTCCTGGTTAGCCTCAGTGCAGATACAACCACAAGGACATAAATCTTTTAACACTTTTGCAGTTCTGGAACAGCAATGGATTTAATTCTGGGGCAGCTCTCACCCTGACTGACCTACAGTCATAATTTTTCCCTTTCCTCAGACTGGAATAGTCCCATAAAATTATAACTTAAATTGTGCTATTGTCTCATAGAAGCATATTGCTTTTTACAAGCTATTAAGTAACAAGTAATGAAAACACAAGAAACACATGAAAGCATCAACTCAAATTCCCTGCTAGGTGCTGGCAGTGTTTGTATGCCACTCAGAACCCACTCTTCATTCCTTCAAAGTGGACAACTCCATGCATTTAACACTCAGTTTGGTTTGCATAATAGGTTTCTATTGCTCTAGTTTGTCCTCTAAGTACCTGGTGCGGAGAAAAAACTCTCATCAAGGAATTGCAAGATGAAGAGACTTTTTGCAGTGGCACCAAATCCACACTAAACAGTAAGACTGAATGTTGGAGAAGAAGCAAGGTGTAATGAAACACACTCCACAGTAATCCCACACATTTGGTCTGAAAAGGTCAGGAGAACAGACTGACCCAGTTGTCTCCTACATTTCACTGCACAATGTGAACATGTTCCCTAGTTAAAAATAAACCTGAGCAGCATAATCATGGTGAGGGTCTTCTGTCCTCTGCTTCCCCTCACACCCTCAAAGAAAAAGACAGCTTCTGGCTTCAATGTGCTGCACTGCCTGGGAAGTCCTGCATGCCCTGGTGACAGACATGGGCTTTTAACCTCTCCACGCAACTGCATGCCACTGCAAAACACTATCAGAAATGAACATTCAATGATAGTGGGAGTAAACCAAACGGCAACCAGGAGGTGCATCAGCTTGATAATGATGACCTACTGGCAGACATGTAGAGCTGTTTGACCCAAGCTGAGACCTCTCTCCTTGCTTGCTATTCCCCCTTAGATACCCAGCATTCCTGCAGCAGCCATACAAACCATCCTGCTCTGCAATGAAGGAGCAAGGACAGGCAGCCAGCAGCAACAGGCAGCAGAGGTGCAGAAGCTGCTTCAGTTTCTTGAAGTTTCCACTATTAGCAAGAATTAGGAGTCCCTGCAAGACAGACTATGACCCTGGGCATGGTCTCCTCTCTTGCCATCAACATGGGAAATGGCACCAATGCAGTGACTAGACCAGAGGTGCCCACTCTAGCAGAGGAGAGCTTGGAGTCTCAAAGCAAAGGTATAACAACACATTATTTGGAAAGCATTCTCCCTTGATTTCTATTTTTTCAGCTAGTACTTAATAACTTTAAATTCTGGAGGGGGAAGAATTAGGGAGATTCTATACTGAGATTAGCTCAGCTGGTTAAAGCATGGCACTAATAATACCACAGATTCAATCCCTGTGTGGAGTACTCACTTAAAGAGTTGGACTCAATGATCCACATGGGTCCACTCCAGCTAAGAATATTTTGTGATTCTGTAACCTCTCACATGGTGTCTAACATAGGATTTTTAGCTCTTCACAGTGCGCAACTCTGACAGCAGTGCCCTGTGTGCGAGGACAGGCTGCAAGGCCAAGGTCCACACACAGCTCTGAGGAAGCACACTCGACCTTTGCTGCACAGTCCAGGTAGATCAACAGCTCTGCAGTAGGCAGGACAGTGCACAAAGCAAACTGGAGTGGGACCTCTTAGGGGTGAGGGCTGGGATCCACAAGGAGACTGAAGGCTCCTCCTCTTATATTTCAGGTCACCACTGACACTTCCTTTCTAGGAACAGGAAAGGGAAATGCAACCCTCATACAGTGCAAAACAAAGCCCTTCCTGGATGTGGCTTCCATGGGTTATCAAACCACTAAAATTCAGCTGGACTGTGCTCAGCTGCAGATTCTGGTGTTTGAAGTTCAAACAGAACAGGGACTGTCCTAATACACCAGCTGCATGAAGGAAAGGAGAGACACTGCTGACTCCAGCCAGGCCCTTTGTAACATCACACAGTGTCAAGGACTGAGTTTGCAGACTGTGTGTTTTATAGCAGCACTAGATCCCTGTTCCAATGGCCATCCACTTGCCTTGCAACTGAAACATCCTGCCCCTAAAACCATCACAAACAGCAGTCACAGGCATTCCCAGCAATAGGTATTGCCTCCCACCAGGGTAGAAGAGAGTGCCTAGATTTGTGCCTAGATGGAAAAAGCTTCTAGGGCTCAAGCCCCTACCCAGAGACAAAGAGAAGTCAGGAAAAGGTGTGCAGCAACCCAGGAGAAGCCAAGCAAGATACTGAAAGAAGCTGCTGGCAGCCTACGGGTTATCGATGTCCTCATGCAGCACGTGCAGGCTGTAGTAGACCTGGCCTTGGAAGTAGCAGCTGTGGAGATATTCAGTGAGGGATTTCCTCCAGTTCACATACATCATGTTGCAGATAAACTTGTCGAAACTTTTTAGCTGGAACAAGGGCAAAGAGATGGATGGGGAGATATAAGTGAGAACAAATTTTTTTTCAAAATTAAATAAAAATTAGCAGGTTGTAACTAGTGATCCAGGGCATGGTCAGACTTGAACCCTTTGTGGTCAGGATCATGCCAGGAGCCACAGGCAGCTTTCCCTTCCTCTCTCAAGACATGTGAGCCTCTGGTCTTACCGTGGAGTTCACAATGATCAGAGTCACGGCAACGGCAGTCAATGTTTTGAATCTGGAGAAGTCCTTGTTCCCTAGGACCTCATAGTAGTGGCTGGGGATGACACCGACCTGGTAAATAACTAGCTGCTCTGGAGGAGAAAGGAAAGCAGGGGAAGGAACTGATGGACTGCGGTGACAAGGCAAAGTGGGGGACCACAGGGAGCAGACGTGCGGTGCAGACCCCCATCCCCACTACCCAGGCTCACCCAGCAAGGCGACACCGAGCAGCGTCAGGAACATGAGGGTGCTCGGGGAGGGCCACCCAGGAAAGAGCACAGCCAGGAGCCGCAGGAACCGCCGCAGGAACAGCCCGTCCAGCCGGGAGCCAGCCCTGCAACAGAGGGAGACGCGGGACCGACAGTGAGCTCGGGGGTCCCACCCCACCTCCCCTCCGTCACGCCCCGGCCCAGCCTGCTCCATCCTCACCGCCCGCCGGCCCCGGCGCCCCCCGCGCTGCCGCTGTCCCCCGCCATCGGCGCCCGCCGGACCGGACCGGACCTGCCGGGCCAGCCCCGCCTCCGCGGGCGCTCTACATGAATATTCATCACCTCTCCTCGCCCTGCATCAGCCCCGCCCGGGCACAGCCGCCGCTGCCGCCGCTTCCGCGCGCGGCGTCACCACCGAGATCCCGCCCGCCAGCCCCGCCCCTGCCGCGCCGCCGAGCGGGAGCGCCCCCTGGCGGGACGGCGCGCCGGCCGCGCGCACAGCGCCCCCCGCGCGCGCTCCCCTCACAGCCCAGGCGGGCGGGCGGAAGCGGTGGCGGGCCCGACGCGGTCCGTGCGCTCGAGTCCCTCACCTCCTCCCCGCCCGCCTGCTCACAGCGGCCGACCGTGCTGCCGGGCAGGGTCCAGGGCCGAGCCACAGGCCGCAGGGCCGGAGAACCCGGGCACTAACTCCTCTCTTGATGAAGGAGCTGGACAGACACGAGCTGATCCCTCTGGAGATCCCAGAGGCTGAGGGACAGTCGCCGTGGGCAGCAGATATTGCCTCCTGTTACAGGGGAGACAAGAAAGACGTATCAGTGCTAATTCTGCACATGCGTCTTATTTTGGGGTGCGCAGTGAAGTTTCGGGTTGCTTCCAAAGGACACACAACTTGCAGCGGCCATTGCAGGGGATTTCTCAAGCCGTGACGTTGGGATTAGGAAGCGATCCCCAGCGTGAATGTTTAATTATGAATAATTAAGATGGTGAATGTCAGTGTGTGCTCCTCACCCTGCTCCAGGAACGGGAATGGACCAGTGCGAAAGCCCAGGCAGAGTGAGGGACTTCAAGAAAGCAGCAATGAGCTGAGTCAGTGAATGGACCCTCTCTGGCTTCTCAGTGACCCCAGTTTTAATACAGAAACCAACAAATTGTTTTTTCAGGTTTGGGCTGGAATCTGGTTTCATAACCCAAAAGTCCAACTTATGAAATATTTCAGAAAAAGTAAATTTCTGGACAAGCCTTGTGATTAGAGATGAGAGATCCTGTGAGCTGTCGTGCCTTCCTTACTCGTGTGTCTCTTACCTACCATCCTGTTGATGCCATTTCTTCTGCAGAGCCTTTGGGCTTCTGCACATACCCTGTGGGTCCCTCTTCCCATGTGCCTAGTAGCGTTGTTCTTCTGCCAGTTCCATGCCTCCCAGCCCTCCTTCTCTTCCTTCATCCTCATCTCCTTCATCTTTGCTCTGCTGCTATCTGCTCAGTGGTCCAGATAATTCTTACTTCACACTTCACAAAATCAATGTATATGCTCCCAGGGATGAAAGAAGACACATCAGTGTGTTTCCTCAGCAAATGGCCTTGTCTCTAAGCAGTGCCCCTTTCTCCTTGCCCTCATCTCCCTTCTCTCAGCTCTTTTGGAATTCACAATGCTATCAGTCATACCTAAAGGTTAAGCTTCAGAGGGCAGAGATCAGCCCTGTGAAAACCTGACCTCACTGATGACTAACTTTTATGTTAAAAGAATCATGGGGTTTTTTTTCTCAGCTGTTGCATCAGACCTGGGTGATGGTTGCTCCTAGGCAGTCACATCCTCTCATGGGGCAGCTGTGGCAATTGTGTGTGTCACCTTGTCAGTGGTTACCAGGCTTGAACTAAATCCTTTCCTCCACTGTTGTTTCCTCCAGTGTTGTCCACTTTATGATGAGGGGATATGCCTTCCCTTCCCTCCTCGACTGATGAAAAGGCTTTCCAGCACCAGGGGAATCAGAGGATCTAACACAGAGACGAGATGGCCACAACTGTCTATCCCAAGCCCGCCCTCCTACTTCTTCCTTCTCCCTTCCCTTTGTTCTGTCACTGGCACCCCACGACCTCCAACTGATAAAGCACACGCTGTGAGCTCCCTTTGGCGTATCAGCTTCACGATTTTTCCTGGGAACCCTCCTAAGGCAGCCAAGATCAAGAACAAAAGAGAACTGCTTTCTCGGTGCCTCTCCATCCCCCCTCCGAGGCTGTGCCCTAGACACTCAGCTGCTGTCAGCACAGAAACATTTACATCTTTTACAGCACTCCAGCTCTACTTCTCACGTTTCTCCCCCAGCAAACACCATGGCCATTTCAGTGTGTGCCTGGGGGCAGGGCTTGGGAAAGGACTGGGGAATCACAACTTGAGTAGTTTTATGGGTCTGTTTGCACTGAAGGGCCATATCTCAGCTCCCTGACTAGCTACAGACCCAAGAGAAACCCCCTTTACATTGCTAACCTGTCACCAAAGTGTATGCCATGAATCCAGGGAAGCGAGAGCTGGGCCTGGCTGGCTGGGTCCTGGGCTCCTTGAGGCAGTGCAAGTTAATTCCTTGTGGTGTTTAACCGCAGCCCCATCTGCTCCTGCTCGCTAGGTGTGAAATATCCCATCCCCCATCCTCCCCTGCCTGCTTCATGCATTTTTGCCCTGCCCTGGACCAGTGAAGGGAGCCAGATCCTTCTGCATCCCGGGCCTCCCAGCCACTGACTCACATCGTTCCCCACTGCCCCTCTATGTTTCTTTTTACCCTGTGGTCCCTCTCTGCCTGCTGGCCTGTAGCTGGGATGCAGGGAGAAGCCTGACAGACCCATCTTTCACTGCCTTTGTGTAGTAAATGGTCCTGGGTGTTCTCTGAAGTAAGCAGCAGCTTCTGTCATCACAGAGAGAAACACAAAACTGCAGCCTTGAATCTGAAGCTCTTCCCTCTTTCCCAGGTCTTAATGCTGCTGGCTTTGTGTGATGTTGCGTAATGAAGCACTGCCAGAAGATTATCCCCTTCCTGGGCTTTCCAAAACTGAATCCACCATTTCCTGCCCATGTTTCCAACTTCTAGTCTCCTCATAGGTACCTGTCCCCACTGGAGCTTGCAGCTTCTTCAGTGTGGGATCACCTACAAGCTTTAGCCCTGTGTCAGATCATTAATAAGGAAGGGGTTGTGAAAAATGCCATCTGAATTTCAGCTCTGTCTCTTATTAGGGTGTGAGCTAAACAGCTTATTTTTAGCTGGATCAGCAAGCTGAACTGACTTGAGTCCCTCACACTCCTGTGCCACCCCAAAGCAGAGGGTGGGAATGGGAAACTGAGGGGGAGCAAACAGCATAGGCCAGGCTCAGCATGGCTTAAACCTCCATGGAGCCGCACCACGGGCTCCTGCTGTGATATCTTAATGATTCTTCCTTTTCCTTCTCCACACTGTGTGTCTTAATTAGCCTTTCCCCCTCCTGTGGGCCAAACTGCTCTGCTTTCTTTTCAATCCTCCTTCCTTGTGCTTTGCCTCTAACAGTGTCTTTCTACTGTACACTTCAAAGGCTTTACTTGCTGCATCTCCCCCATGCTGGCATTGGCTGGTAACACCCCCAAAGCAGGCCAGGTCTGCCATGAACTCATAGTCATCAAAACAGTTTTGGGCCCTTTGGATTTGGGTAAGAAGCAGGATTTGGGAGGAGAGGTCAAGGATTTTCAGCATTTCACCTATGAGAAGACTTAGTAACACAGGGAAAAAAAAGGGGTTAAAGGGACCCCTCCTCCACTCACCCTCCCCAGAGAAGAGCCAGCTGAGGGCAGAGTGCTTTTATGTGCAAGTGGGAGGGAAGGAGAGTGTTAGGGTTTCAGAGGGAAATGCTTTGATCTTGACTTTGAATCTCCTTCAGTTTCCAGCTCTCCCCCACTCTTCCACCTATGGCCAGGACCACAGGATGCTGCCAGGACTCCTAGTCCTTGCTCAGTGCTATGGTACTTCACTTGCTGTTTCACATTTAATTTCCTCCTGTGCACCTGGGAGCCTCACAGAAGCCTGGTGGAGCAAGAGCACAGTGCCAACACCAAGTTCAAACTTTCCCTCCCTTCTCAAAGAATGGGAAGAAAAAGGGAGCCCAGTTGTACAGAAGCCAGAAGGGAAAAGAGCCCTGAGATGAGTAGAGGTGAATTAGAGATGGGACCTACTTTCAAGGCTCTGGTACACCAGGGCAGGGGGCAGGCAGACCTGGCTCTTCTGTGTGTCCTGGTGCATTAGACTGGTCAGTGCTGAACATGACCCAGAAGATGAACTGGGAAGCAGTAACCATTAGGAGAGGGACAGGGAGTGGCTCTCAGGAGACAGCACTGATGTCCCCTGGTCCCACAAAGAGTTATTTTAAGTTGGAGAGAGAACAGCAATGAGAGCCCTTAGTGTTTTCTGCAGGATGGGAAGAAGGTGGCATTGATGGGTGCTGGACTATGGGGAACGACCCTGAGTTCTGATTCACTTCAAAGGAAGAGGACAGTAGGGTGTGGGAGAGACTTAGGGGCCTCCAGTCTCTTGTCCAAAGTGGGATCTAATGTGTAGGCAAGTTCACCACTTCCCTTGGGCGGAGTCCACTCCTGGCTGGGCCTTGCCCTTAAGCTGTCTTAAAGTTCAGGCCAAATACTTCTGCCGTCTGTGTTGCCCTTTTTCCTCAGCTGAAGTCACTCCTTTTAACTGCTCTCCCTTGCTGAGGTTGTTGCACTTGAATATCCCTGCCTGGCAGTTCTCACTTCAGCACCACTAAATAGATTTTTCCCTCACATCATCTCTTATTTATAATTCAATCACTCCAGCTCTGCTACTCCTGGCTGAAAACTTCCTATAGTTTGTTACTTTCCCTTTCAGTATGATGTGAGCAGACCTGTCTGCCAGTGTCCAGCACTGTCCCAGGCATGCACAGACTGGAGGGTGCCTCACAGGACTTCTCTGCAGAGCCCAATCATTGCTCTCTGAGCATCACTTTAAGGGCTTCAGCACAGACATGAGGCAGTGGGTTCAAAGATGGTTTCAGGTCTGGGATGAGAAGTACCAGATAATGTGAATGCCAAAACAGGGCTTCTGTCATTCACAGTAAACCAGTTACTACAGAAATTTTGGTGGACTTCATGTTTTCCAGGTCCCTCTTGGGCAATATCTCACCAGAACCCCTTGAACTTCCTTCTTCCTAAGACTGGTGGGCATATTGCAGCTGCAGCAACCCAATTTCTGTTGCCAGTTCAGGCTGCAAGCTCTGCTCATTGCTCTTTCTTTGTGGAGCAATGCCAGGCACAGGAGAGAAAGCAGACAAGGTGGTAGACACTTAGGTCCCTCCTAAAAGCTCCCATGCTCTCATTTCCATCAGC